TGAGCTCGGCTCGTCAAGCACCTACATTTATTAAAATAGTCCTATAAATGACTATTCAACCCATGACTAACTAATCATAATAATCACTTAGTCCAATTATGCTCACATAAGAATTTAATCAAGGAAATATCATTTTCGAAAATTTAGTACCACATACGTTTTTGAAAATTTAACCCGGGCAGCGTTTTTAAAATCAACATAACTTTCAGTACATAACTTGGATGAATATGATTCAAGTGGCACTGTAATCCTAAGGTATGCATATACAATTTTTATGAAGACATTAAAAGTAAATAAGGTCGTTTACTAGGAAATAAATTATCAAACATTCAAAACTGAGTAGCAGTCAAAAGTCGAGAACTTGTAACCGACCAGACTTCAGTATTTACTAGCTAACCGGAGTTACAGACACGTTTTTAATGAGATTCAAAAACCATGTAATAGCTAACTCAAATTTCTACAACTTTACTGAAGACCACATTTGCAAATAATCACGTTATAGGCCTCATTTCAGGACATACATTTTGAGTATTTACCCAGCCACTGCATCAAAATTCTGGACATAAACCCAACTTAGAAAAATTATATAAAATCAACTAAAACTCTAAATTGCATGATTTAAACTTATTTTGAAAGCTAAACATTAGGCCTATAAGTTTTATGAAGATCAAAAATTAATTTAAGTACATTAAGATGCCATAAACAGGACAAACATTTATTAGTACATGCTGCCGGGTTTTCAAAAACTGCTTGCTCAATCGTTTTATAAAAATCATAACTCACTCGATATATCTTGGATTATCAATATTTCAAAACTCACATAACCACAACCAAAAGATCTACATATCATATGCAGAGAAAAACTTCATAAAACGAGTAATTCATGCTCTTATCAGCAACACAACAGAGGTAGTAAAAATCAAAATATAAGTCTTCTACTACATGGTCTCCTTTCAATATCGATATATCCTCATATAAAATGAAACTTAGTCATAATTTAACACACATAATAACAAATTAACTCCCCTACATTATACTAAAAAGGATTTAGCATACTAACCTCTTCAAGCCTTCAAGAAAAACAAGATGAAACTAGGTTGAAGTTCTTCTCGGCAAAGGCTCTAAGTTGCTCTTGAACTTGATATAACTTCTAAGAGTTTGGAGAGGACTTTGGGGTGATTATGAACGAAAATTATAAGGATTAATGTGACTTTATTCAGCTGAGTTGTGGCCTTAAGTAAAGGCTTCACATGGGTGTTGACTCTTTGGCTATAAAAGGGACAAATAATGAAGAAATCTTAGGTGTATTTGCAAGGAAATTTCTTCAACTCTTAGGTGTGTGAATCTTGAGCACATGGACGAGTTATTGGGTTGGTAAGGCTTAAGATACTCTGATTTTTATCATCAAGGAACATGGGGACAAGAATCTTACACCTCTCATGCAAAAACAAGACTAGCACATGCAATATAACAACAACCTAGCACATTATTACTAAATGCCAAGATGGTTGACTTTCTTTCACCTTCACATGGACTAAAATAGCTCATATGACTTTTAATCCACCTGATTTCATTCTCATGGTCTTAGATTTGAGATAAAGGAATCATGGTTTGAACCATTGGTTAGAGAAAGGTGAATG